AAGGTCAAAACATGAAAACTCAAAATTTTACCATTTTTTACATTTCTAACTCCTATAAAAAGACGTGGGTTCAGTTTTCAATTACAAACATGTCTTATGTTAACATGCAGGCAATCAACTTTTACATGATATCTAATATATGGAGATTTTTTTTTCAAAAAATAATATCACGTTTCTATGGTAGCAAGGTTATACATATTAGGAATCAAGTAAAACATAAAATCTAATATCTCCACCACTAAAGGTTCTATAAATTTAATTTAAATGGCTATATATGTGTGTGTGTGTGTGTGTGTGTGTGTGTGTTTATTTTATGTTTAAATTAAAAGTGTGAACTTCTTCATTCAATGTCAACATCATGTTCTAAATTAAAGTTCAAACTTTGAAAATGGGAATATGTGATGCTGTTATTCATTTTGCATCTTTTATCAGTCAAATAATTGTCAGTTTTATGAACAAAAGACATTAAGACCTAGTAGTATATATATATTTTTTTTACTGATATGTAACGTGAAGATCTAAATTGTGCAAATTACACTCATGATATCTACAGAATTCATATAAGCGTTATTGTCATAACAGTGGGTTTAGAAGACAAATTCCGGAGTACATTTTTTGTTTCTACAGCTCTACAGAAAATATTATTTAAAAAAGTAAAACGAAGTTTTAACACACTAAAGATTTGCTAAATACACATAAAGAAATTAACTATCACCTCAATAAAGTTACTTAAGATAGTTCGAATAGTACACTGAAGATCATTGCAATTGTAACGAATGTAACATAAGAGAACAAGCAGCAAAACCTTGAGATACCCGAGTCTTTGTTTCCTTGACAAGATATCTCAAACTCTCATTATTAACATAGTCATCATGTGTACTTGTGATGGCATGAGTGAAGACGATGTTGCAGTCTTAATCATTAGCTTTACATGGAAACATCTCACATAAGGCTATGCCAACCTTAGCACGTCCACAATTCTTACTGCATAACTTTCTCCCAGTACATGCATATATGAGATATTTTATCATCTCTACTAATCTACCATCTTCAAAAAGGGTTGGCATGAGCTGGTAATCATCCCTTTTTATACACATGGCCTTCAAGGGAGCCAACATCAGGGTGTGCAATGTGAGATAACACTCAGAAATTAGTTTTCCAAGTGACTTTTCTAACATTCTAAAGAAAGCTTAGTTCAGAAGACGGAGGTTGTACCAATACAACGTCACATGTTGAATCCATCTTTGTTTGAAGATCAATCAGACTGTAGTGTTATGCAAAGTGCTTTCCTTTTGGATCATACAATGGCAGAGACTACATTGCTCTTCTAGTCTCTATCCAAACGAAGCAGGATATTTGAAGTGTTCTGGGCCCATTTCTGCTACAATCTTAAAGACAACGTTATTTCATTTCTTCAAAAAGAAATAAGTTGTGTCACACCAAGTAAGTGAATACAGCATTAGGAGAATGTAACAAAATATGGGAGACATGGTTTAGCATACTTGATGTGCTGCAATATATAGCCATAGATCTTTGGTTGAGGTGGTTCTGCCAGTTGCTATCTAAAGTTCCTTGACATTCTCCAGCTGAAGAGTGCTTTTGTCATCTGATCCACATAACGATGTTCTAGTGCAACAAATGTTCTTATATGTTTGGCATGCATTTTGTAGAAATCAGCATGGCATCTCTGAAGAAGACAACTTCAGATTACTTTATGGAGGGCAGAGAAGTGATTTTGTCACAATTTTCTTCTAATTTATGCATCATGTCTGTCTTGCACATTAATCATCAACTTCATAAAATAAAGCAGTTGGGATACTCATGATTGGGTGACTAAGAATTGGGTCTGTCGACATTATCACTGCATCAAGAAAGTGCTAGAGCTCTGCGAAACACCAACTTGGCATGTATCTCTTTTTTTGCAGTCAAAAATGATCTTGGACTTCCTTACCATAATACCAAATGTCTTCAGCCCAGAATTTTGAATAGGAGTTTATAAAAACCTAAATTCTTTACTAGCTAAACTAGAGTTCTCCAGTATATATATATAGGAGCAACTTTGACTTTCAAAGAGCAATACAGCCCTGTGGAAAGTTGCAGAAGAATACAATGCTAGTGACAACCAATGTCAAAGGGATTAGTCATTGACGATGACAATCACTGTTTGTGGGGAATGTCCTTGTTATCATTTATCCCAGTTCTGGTACCCATGGCTTCAACATATTTCTTGTGAGACTAACTATATCACTTTCACTCTTCATGTCATGAATTGTGGTTTTTCAGCAGCTTTATATAACATTGAAGGGCCCTGTATGCTCCTTGACAAAAAACTCTCTACTACATCAATGGGTAGAATATGGGTTGGAATCCATCTCACATAGTTGGCTCTGTTTGTGGCAAACACATATGGTAACATGGCTGTAACAAAATGTTTCCATTTCACTCAACAAAAGAATCTGGACTACATCAAAAAACATTATCCAAAACTGGAGTGTAGTAGGAGATATTTCATCACATCTTCTAAATTCTCGCAACTAAAGCAAAATATGATCTTGCAGCATATTTTCACTTTTCATAACAGCATTTTGTATCACTGGTAGGTTTGCTGACTTCAAGGCACGTTGAGTGTGTATCAGCTGTAACCAAGTTTCTCTAGGAATCTGTTTGACATATCGAGACACTACAAGAAGAACTGACCTAGAAAGAGTTCCTCATATGCCAAAGTAATTCCTCAAACATCTCTGTTGAACTGTTTGCCTGTTATCATATTGTTTACCACTGCTTACAGCAAAAACATCAGAATCTACCAGCAAATTCTTTAATCCTGCATCTCTCCACATCTTGCCGACTGTTGCAATAAAGGCACCAGCCGTGTAAAAGCCTCCAAGCCTGTTGACACTGGTTTTAAGTTCTGTCAGCTATTCCATTTCAATTTCTGTACTACAGCATATAACCATTGGGCCATGATCAGTAGTGATTATGTCTGGTCAAGAGCATTACTCTTTTTCTGGCACTGTTTCAAGGTGATGTACATAGTCTGAATTTTTACTAGAGGAGCATTGATGATTGGTTTGTATGTAACTGCACAATTAGTCTCACTTTTATTTTACAATACATTGTTGTATCCTGCCCAAAACTATGTAACTTACTCATTAAAGGACACATTGCAAGCTGGAAGTTGTGTGACTGAGAGATGTTTCGTTCATGTCTTTGATAAAACATGAATTCATGAGTTTCATAGCGTGATCTATTCTTGGTGGCTCACAGTTTGTAGCAGGTTTTCTATACTCTCTGCATGGTGAGAGACACCTAGACATTTCTTATGTTACCACAGGGTTCTTCTCAATCCTTGATGTAAAAACCACATTGTTTTACCTCCAGTTGTTGTTGCTGAATGCTCTGGTGCTGAAACACTACACAACCCATTGAGAGAAAGTGCTCTTTCCATCCAGTTTCTGTGTTCATGTCAACATTGACTGGAGTTTCCTGGATTAGTATTCCTCTTACTTTAAGTGGAATACAATTTGGTTGTGAGTATATATACCTCTGATTTTATACTTTGCACTTGGTCATAGGCTAGAGATGTGCTTAATCTTTTCTTTTTTTTTATACCTAACTGTAAATCCAAAACTATGCAGTGTTTCTATTAAATTATACAGCATCACATACAGACTTCGGTAAATTTTGAAGTTGCTTATGTTACTCAAGTTGTTGTAAGATGAAAGACAAGAATAGTGATACACATCATCTACTGCTATGAAATCCTTTACCTCAATTCTTCATAGAATGCCTTCATAATTTCAATCTAACTTCTTCTTTAAGACCAGTACCTGCATTTTGTGTATAGGGTAGTAAATCAGAAGAATTTTCTATGTAGACGAAAATGGACATCATTGTTGAGTCTTGGAGAAATTTCATTCAGTTTTTAAGACCTTGCTCACCAGCTACACTGCGATTTTCATTGGTCTGTCTGTAAAGTACTGTAGAACACTGAAGAGAACTGTAAAGTACTATGGAACATGCTAGAGTATTGCAGAGCACTGTAAAATACAACAGAGCATCATATAACACCACAGAACACTGTAGAATGCTGCAGAACACTGTTAGGTATTGCATAACAAAAGAAAGTACTGCAGAACACCATGGTGCACTGGAGATCTCTGTGTTGTTCTGTACAATGCTATAAAATACTGCAGAGCACTGGAGAACTCTGTGTTGTTCTGTACAATGCTATAAAATACTGCAGAGCACTGGAGAACTCTGTGTTGTTCTGTACAATGCTATAAAATACTGCAGAGCACTGGAGAACTCTGTGTTGTTCTGTACAATGCTATAAAATACTGCAGAGCACTGGAGAACTCTGTGTTGTTCTGTACAATGCTATAAAATACTGCAGAGCACTGGAGAACTCTGTGTTGTTCTGTACAATGCTATAAAATACTGCAGAGCACTGTAGAATGCTGCAGAACACCATAGAATACCACAGGATCACTGTAGAGTATTGCAGGACACTAAGTTAGATTAGTACGGTGTAACTTACTGCAGAGCACTATAAAGTACTGAAAGACAATGCAAAGTACTGTAATGCACTGTAGAGCTTTTCAAAACACTAAGATATTCCTGAGCATTGTTAAATACTGTAGAGCATGATAAAGTACTGTAGAATATCATATAGTACTACAGAACCCTGTTAAGCACTGTAAAGTACCCGAGAAATGTTTAGAGTACTGTAAAGTACTTGAGAAATGTTTAGAGTACTGTAAAGTATTTCAGAACACTGTAGGGTATTGCAGTTAAATCCAAACTTTTTAGCTACAGTTTTCTATTATTTTTAAATATCTTTTTTCTAGACTACTTGAAAATAATTGTCATGTAAAAATTAATCAGTAAAACGTTATAGACAGAACTTTAAAAATAACTATACTGAAATTTCTTATATGATATAATAGAAAGTTGTGATATTCTCTTAATGATTAAAAAAACAACAAATTTCTCATACAGTTGTTTTAAAAGACTATTTGGTTTATTTCTATTTAATACGGTTATAACTCCAGATAACATCAACTTAAACACACTATGCATGTTCACTCTTAGTGAGGACACTGGTATTAAATGATTCATTCTATTATCATACACAGATTAATGATGATATGAAAGAGTCTGGTAAAATGATTTTTAAAACTTAAGAAAATTTAAATATTTCTTAAATTCTTTTAGAACCAGTTTGTATCATTGTCCATATATTTCATGTTGAAAACTTAAATTTCAAAAAACATAAATAAACTTTAACAAGTATACATTATTTTATGTTCTATAAAAATCAATTCTTCTTCTTGCGTTTATCTGCTTCTGTACTGCTATTCTCTCCTTCAAACTGTCGTACAAGTTCCTGCTCAGTTTCAGGCAAAGCAGGGGAGTAGCGGCAGTACTCCATACTGAATTCTCCTTTACCCTGCGTAGCTGATCTCAACTCTGTTGCATAACCAAACATCTCATTAAGAGGTACCTAGAAATAAGAAAATAAAATAAAAATACTCAGATCATGCATTTTATACATTAATCAAAACTGTTAATCTTCAGTTCTCTATTAGTTATTGCTGTATTTGCATGACTTTCTTATGAATGTTCTATAGAACATGAAAGAGGGGTGTTTAAAAGTTAAATGTATATGCTATACCACAGATATTAATGTTTGTTACGTATTATAATTATATATGGTTAAGCTTTTTTTACAGTTTGTTACAACTTGACAACTGTTAACTAGGAAAATATGACAGATTTGATTGTTAAGTCACTCACTTTAATATGAAGGTTAAAATTAAGTTTAATTATCAATGAAATAATTTATGTAAATCTAATAATAAAAATTTATCTTCTAGTCATTCTTGATTTTAGCTAACTGAATCATCTTATTTTTGATAACTTCATGTTTTAATGCCTTAAACATATTGTAGCTGTAAATATATTATCATGTTGAAAAATAAAAACAATTCGTAGATCTTTAAAGACGTAAGGGCTGCTATCTATCATTCAAGATATTTCTAAAACTCAAACCAAAACATATCTATAAATACATTCCTGATACTTAAGTTTTAGTATATGTATGAGTAGCCTTGTACTGTGTGATAGTTAGCTGGGTTCTTCCCTATGAGTAGGTATTTACAATATATCCCACTGATATCAATGTTTGTTACGTATTATAATTATATATTGTTAAGCTTTTTTACAGTTTGTTACACTTGAAATACTATTACTAGATCTCAACATATGCTTCAAGTGAGTCAGAAACAGAGAGTGTTGCAACAACTTAATTATGAAAACAACAAACATTACAGTGTCTTACCTCAGCTACTACTGTAAACCAGCCTTCATTAGCATCTGTTCCAGTGATGATACCATGCCTGCGGTTAAGCTGAGCCATGACAGAACCCTGAAATTCTTGTGGACCTGTTACTTCAACTGTCATTACAGGTTCCAAGATATGCCAGTTACCATGTTTATACACTACAACATGAGATTTTAGGTTAATTAATATCTGCTACACATGTACATTCCATGAACTGTCAAACATGTGATATAACTCTTAGCACAAAATATAGGTAGTCTACTAAATTATGGGTTTTATTTAACCTATATATTTATCATAATTCACCCATAAAAAGAACCTCAGACACTGAGTAAGCATTCTTAATTTATTCTGGCTCATTAATAACATAGCCTACACCACAAAAAATATTACTTACAATGAGATAAAGTGTGTGTGTGTGTGTGTGTGTGTATATACACATGCATAAAGATATAAAAAGTCTGTATAAGTAAATTTATAGATGAAAAAGTAATATTAAGTTATGTACTAAACCACTTTTAAACAATATTCATAAATCTAAGTTCCACATTAAAAATAAAATTTTCTCACTTTTTAATCTAAACAAGTTTCTGTTAATGTAAGTCTAAAACAACATATTTTTACAAGCATTATTGAATGGCTCCAGAGGTATACTTGCTATTTTTAAGTACAATGATGATAAAGTAGTATAAGTGAGAGAGATGGACAATTAGTGATACTTGCTAATTGATTAAAGATGGGCTCATTAACTGATTAGCATATGCAACCCCCCCCATACTAACAAATAAATAAAATAAAACAAAGAAGTCTATTCAGAAAATACCATATTATTATGTTAACAAGAAACAATGATTAACTTCTCCACACTAGCTGTAGTAATGTTTCATTTCTATAATGACAATATATGGTCTCGGTTAATTATGTGAAAATAAGCTGTGTAATAACATGACCAAAATTTCTATATTTTTCATATAAAAGAAGAGACATCCCCATAATATGTTGGTATTTTGGATTAATCAATGTGGACCATATAGTTCTAAATAAGTCAAACAAAGTCAAAATAATGTTAATGTATTCTGTAAATGACTAACCCAATTATATTTTAATCCAGCAATTTCAAAGTATATATCTTTATTTCTAGTAATATGATTGATATGAATATGAAAACAGTTAATCAAAAATATTTCAAGCTTTTCAATAAAAATTAAACAGTTTTAATTAAGCATAATGATATTAATAAAACTTTATAGCATTTGTAAACATGATGTCCATTTAAAAAATTTTTTAAAACGTTATACTTATCCAGTCATATCACTTACATTTTCACATATTTTATACATCAACAATGCGAAAAATATATTTCTCATGATAATTTTAACTTCTAAACAAAGGATAAATCAATTCTGTAACAAGTCTACGTTATAATAAATGCAGTTGTCTTAAACAATAACAATAGTGTCTTATGTTTCTAATTCAACATTAGGTAACTGTATTCTTTAATATTATATGAAAAGGTCTAGATTTCAGGGTGGGTCTAGGGATCCAGGCCCCCATTTTTTCAGGAATTAGTAACTTATTTAATGTTGCATGAGCAGGTATAGATCTAAGAAAGGGTACAGAAGGGCCAAACCCTTCCACTCATTCTTTTCATAAATTAGTAACTGTATTGTTTAATGTTATACAAGTAGGTTCAGAAATTTATTTAAAAAAAAACAGCAAGGTGCCCCTACCTTACCATATAGTATCAAAAAGAAACAGTAGATGTCAGTGTTTTTATTTGATTAGGCTATTCATTACCATAAAATGTTTTTGAGGTTATCTAAAATAAATGCAGCTGGAGTCTACAGCAATCCAGTTAAGTGGTTATTTCTAAGCTAATACAACAAAATGAGCATCAGTTAAATTTTGCCATGATAAATTTTTGTGTCTTGGCTTTTTCCAGACACTCTAACTATGTGTTTAGACTTTAAAAGATTTATTTTCATCAGAGTTAGTGTAATTTATATGTTTGACCTGAGATATTACATATGCTATTTTGATATTGACCAATTCTAATATTATTTACCATTATGTAGACAAATGATCAGTATTGGTATATACTGTTGATGTGTTTTGTTTTCTAGGTGATCATCATATTGTTGATTCCAATGAAATTGCATTTATTCTTGCTGCCCAGGGTGCAGTGAAAGATGGTATGTTATTTTGCTGCTAAATATTTGTTGATGTAAGCATTAAATGCTAGGTTATCAGTTGAATTCTGCACTAAAGCTTTGCAATTTAATCAATTAATCAGTTACCTGTGAACAATGATTGTTTTGTAATCAAAATTAGTGTTTCCAATTATTTGAACAATTGCTTAATCAAAATTACAGTTAAATAACCAATTAATCTAAATTAGTTGTTCTGAGTATCATTGTTTTTATTATTCTAACAATTGATTAATCAAAATTATGATTAAATTGATTGTCATGAAAACAATCAACAAATCAAAATTAGAATTTTCAGTTATTCAAACTATCTAAGTGATCATAATGTTATCATTAAATATGTTGTTAAGGGCATAGCTATAATTTTGAACTTTTGACTAGAGGGAAATGAACTGGCTAGAATCACCCACTACCAACTTTCTAACTATTGAAATGTTAAATAAAGTTTACATTTGCTGTTTTTTTCACGTAAAAATCAGTATTGATTATGTTAACTACAACAGTATATAATATCAGAACAGACTAAGCTCACAAAAATAGTGCATAATATTTCTAGTCAAAAGTCTAAACAAAAGTTATATCAATATGAGTAAGTTAACAGCACATACTTGTTAGTTTATATTTCTAAACACAAGGATTAGTACATTAACAACAGTATATCTACTACTTTAATAATATTAAATAAAGGTACATAACATCAATTTTAATAAGACTTATAAATATACACATAATACTGTAATTACCAATTGTAAATATTACATGATATCACTCCTGATTAAGTTCACAACAACATTTAAAATTAAAACAGTTGAAAAAGTTTCACTCTTATTATTATTTTTGTTTCTTAGTTCACATCAGTGCATAATATTCTTATTTGTACACTCATGTCACTACATAAATTTCTTGTTTGTAAGCTCACATCAATACATAATATTTGTTTGTGAGCATACATCAGTGCATAATATTCTCATTTGTACACTAACATCAGTACATAATATTCTTATTTGTACACTCATGTCACTACATAAATTTCTTGTTTGAAAGCTCACATCAATACAAATATTTGTTTGTGAGCATAGATCAGTGCATAATATTCTCATTTGTATACTCACATCAGTGCATAATATTCTTGTTTGTACGCTCATGTCACTATATAAATTTCTTGTTTGTAAGCTCACATCAGTATATAATACTCTTGTTTATATAATGATATCAGTACATAATATTCTTGTTTATTAAAGCATATAGTTCACCCTACTGGTGCATAGCACTTTTCTGCAAATTTTATAAAGTAAAAACTTATGATTTTTTTTTACACAAACTTAGTTTTGGCTTTAAGCCCAAATGTAGGTAATAGGCCAATAATAGTGCTTTGTGCAAAATCTGAACATGTGAGGGACTTGGGCAATAAAGTTTTTATTACTTTTACAAAATAATATCAAAATGTCTTTCAACAATCTCAGAAAAGCACTGTGCTATTTGAATACCAATATAATGATGATGTTTTCATGGCCACTGTACACTTTATGTTGATACGATTACATAACTACATTATAATACTATACATTTATTTAGTTAATGTAAACTTTGGTTATCATACTATAAAAATAACATACCTTAATTATTCAGTGTATTATAGTTTTTATCATATTGTCTGGGAAACTTAAAAATCTCCAGGGAGAACAAAAGAATTAGTATCCTTATTAGTTAAAGATGTAAGATAAAAGGTGAGGAGGTTCGAAAGTAGGTTCTTAAATACTCTCTAGCTATTAATCAAGAAAAATTATTTAATATATAAAACAAAAGTAATGTATGATTAATGTTTCATATTGTATTACTTAGCTGTTTTAATTCTCTATATTGTCAACTTTAATGAAGTTTATAAACACATTATGCTATTGTTGTGAAGCCTGTACAGTAAATTTAGGTGCAGGGCTCAGGAAATTATAATGATTGTAAATTTTTTAACTTATGTTATTCCTTATGTTCTTAAAAAGATTGTGATTATTTCAATAATCTACAACAAAGTTTCATTGCTATCATATGTTACATTTCTGTAATACATTTAATATTGATGAGTATGTGAATGAAAACAAAATGACATGTCAGAAATTACTGAAATGTGTATTAACAAAGAGAAAGCAACTAGTTAGTTTTTACATTTTGTCCTTGAAGTTATTTCCAAAAAAAGGAACAAGTTCATGAAGATTACAAAATACTTCAACCAAAATTTCCTCTAGTCATTATCAAAAAACAAGCTAATTATTATTCATAAAGCCAAGTTTTATTGATGTCCTATGGAGAGATTTCTGAGGGTTGGCATTCATCTTGGCCAAAAGAGCAACATACATCTCTTCACTTGTTAACAAGTCTGCCAGGCATTCCCTGTCATCCATGCTGCCATTTTCTTTAAATTTAGCTAAGAACTTCCCAACAACACTGAGAGTGATGTTTTCTCTCTCTCTCTCTCTGCCACACAGCAGGATTAACGCAACCTTCTGCTGGGACCAATATTCTCTGCCACACAGCAGGATTAACGCAACCTTCTCGTGCTTTGACAATGCCATAATTAGTGATGTACCTAAAACTAAGAAAAGCTACAAATAGTTCCAGAAATTTTGGACACCCTGTATATAATGTTGCTGCTAGATATGTATAATTATATGTGTGGTGGAGATCACATAAAATACTTGTATGTTGCTCTTTTGGCCAAGATGCATGCCGACCCTCAGAAATCTCTCCATAGGACATCAATAAAACTTGGCTTTGTATGTTGCTCTTTTGGCCAAGATGCATGCCGACCCTCAGAAATCTCTCCATAGGACATCAATAAAACTTGGCTTTGTATGTTGCTCTTTTGGCCAAGATGCATGCTGACCCTCAGAAATCTCTCTATAGGACATCAATGAAACTTGGCTTTGTATGTTGCTCTTTTGGCCAAGATGCATGCCGACCCTCAGAAATCTCTCCATAGGACATCAATGAAACTTGGCTTTGCAAAATCGATGATCCACAACATCTTGGTTAAGGCAAAATGGCACCCTTACAAAACGTAACTCCTGCACAAACTCAGTAAAGATGACCCAGACCATCAAGTGCAGATTTGTGAATGGTTCATTATATAATGCAAGACAAATGAGAACTTTCCCCAAACTGATCTTTTCAGTCACAAACAGAACATGCACTGGTGGTCATCAGACAACACCAACTGATATACTGAACTGAAAGAACAAGGTGCATCCAAAGTTATGGTTTGGTGTGGACTATGGAATTGTCGTGTGGTTGGACCATTTTTCTTTGATACAACAGTCAATGATGCATGATACTTACACATGTAGCAATAATAAATGATGCCACAGTTGGAGAGCTGGGGCAACAGCCTGTGTGACTGGTTTATGCAGGATGGCACCCCAACAAATTATGTAACGGAAGTCCAAGCTTGGTTGAATGACACATTCTCAGAACAACAGATTGGCAGACATGGTCCCCAAGATCTCTGGACTTAACTCCCATGGATGTTTGTTTTGGACTACTCAAGGAAAATGTGTACAAAGAGAAGATGAGGGACACAAAACATCTCAAACAACAAGTTCATGATGAGTGTCAGACCATTGACAATAATATAAATATGCTTCACAGTGGTCAAAGAGAATGGAAATACCATCTCCAAGCTTGTTTTGAATTACAAGGATAGCATGTAGAACACATTCTGTAAAATTCGTTCAAGTGCCTATGCTTCCAGAATTTTCAGATACCCTGTACATTAAAAAATATTTCTACATGAAAATATCTTCTCGTGAAATTATCTGCAAGCTGCAGTACAAAAATATGAAGTTAATGCTTCATTAAACAACTTACAATAAAATTTTGAATATGATTGATTTTAGATAACACGTAGGAATAAATTATTTAATGACAGCCTTATGTTAACTCAAGGTATCTAGTGAGGTATTACTTTTAGTATATTAAAATAGGATCTCTGGTTTCCACTTAAATTGTTTATTGTATTTAAAAAAGTTCTTTTTCTATATAATTCTTACCGTCCATCAGTCGAAACTTCACACCAGAAATTTTATGACCTGTAAGCATTCCTTTCTCACACATCATTCTGAAACCCTGCAACCAATTAAATAATAAAAAAAAATTGTATTTGCAAACACTTCATATTCTTTGATCTTACACCTATCTGTAACATCTCAATGATCACTATTTACATAAGTGATTGATAGGAGCTATACTTAGTGGTTTTAAACCTAACAGACTACCTTTTGCCATTAAGTCTAATAGATTATTTTTCTCTCTTAAAAAAAAGATCTTGTTGTGGTTGTCTAATGAAATCGACAATGCAGTACAAAATACAATAAATATTAGTATTAAGCCAGCCCAGTACAAATTACTTCAAAACAATGCCATAGATAGCAGTATTAAACTTAATGGACACAAACTTCCTGTAATCAAACATAACAAACATCACCTGCTTATGTTAAAAAAAGGAATCGTTAAATATAACTCCATGCTTTCCTTAGAAAATGCTACATCTGCTTTTGTTAGAAAATACTGCTGTTAGTTTTACTGATTGAACTCCCTGATTTTGTTTTAATACTTTAAATAGTGGTATTAAACTAAGATTTTGTTAAAAAACAAAAGCTATGGTTAGTGTTATTAATATACATCCTGCTTCTGTAGGATATGTAATAACTACTAACATTTGGCTTAATAAACATATTGCTTCCTTACAAAAATGCAAAAAATTCTATACATAATACAATTAAACCTAATGGATACACAGTTTGTGTTAAAAATAATATTTTCAGTAATGGTATTAAGCCTAATATATACACACCTTCTGTTGAAAACAGTGCTAGAAACTACTGCATTAAGTCTAATAAACTCATTGCTCTTACTGATATATTATGTAAATAGTTATATCAAACGTAATGGCATTAAGCTTTGTGAATTTTCTGCTTCTTTGGATAATAGCAAAATAATTAGTGGCAATAATCTTAGCTGACTTCATCCTCTTATTAGAAAATTATATTACTACATATATTAAGGCTATATGTATTCATATTTATAATACAATTAGTTTTGATGCATTACTAGTTTTCTACATAAAACTGATGAAATATAACAGTAACTGAGATGCAGTGATTTTGTAGTAAAGTCACACACCTAAAGTTGCTTCTATCATGTGAAACAACAAAGATACTTATATCGATTAAAAATAAATTATACCTTCTCTATGGCAGGAACAAACTGTTTTGGTACATTTGTTCCAATTGTTTCGTCACTGAAAACTATCTTGGTGTTTTCTTCAGGGGGAAGAGGCTGAATAAATATAATTTATAAAAGTATATAAGCAAACAGTAACCACTGAAATTCTTCCTTAAAGTATTGATATCTTAAGTTTGGAATTTTAAGTATATTGTGTACAAACATTACATGGTAAGACTGGATATTCTTCAAATAATATACTTGTCCTTTATTTAGATAATGAATAATATGAAGCAAAGAAATTTATATAAATTTAAAATTGTTCTTCAAGTAAACACATATATTTCATTCTAAAAACAGTCAATAAACAGTTTATTTTCTTACTCAAGTTCCTGCTTCATCCAACTTATGACTATATCATGTAATTGTGCATAAAAAACAAAACTAAAAAGTATACTATTTACATAAAACACAAACCATGTTCTAACATTTCATACACATAAGACACTTTTAATTTCTTGACCTTTTATTTTATACAAAAATTAGTTTTCTCTCTCTCTACATTTTACTTTGTGTGTCCTTGTTGAAACATCTAAAAAAAGAATTATAAGCCAAAACAGGTACTTATGATTTTTCAGTTTTAAATGAAGTTTTAGTTTTAATTAGTAATAAGAAAATGTTCTTGTAGCTTCTTTTCATATCTTTAGTTTTCTGTTACTCATCAGTTTTATTTCAGATATATTCAATTATAATTTTCACACAAGGTAAAGTAAAATGCAACTATTAACAAACTTATCCTTATAGCAAGGTTATTTTACACCATTATGTTCATTTGCCACAACCCAAAGGTTATAATAAAATCCCATGAACTTCAGTACTGGGTTCCTTCACACCAAGATAACTTTTTTCAAAAATCCAAACCAATAATAAACATCAAAAATAAGATTAATTCCATTTATTATGAAAAACACATTCTCATGTCATTATAAATAATGACAAGAGAATGGTACTGATCATCATAATAGTAAATTTATAGAAAGCCATATTTCGGTAAGTAGTTTTCCTGAATCAGTAATGACAATTTGTTTAAAATAAAAACCAAAATTGTATAAACACTTTTGTTTAACCATAAGACACTACCATTTATGCTACCATCTATATTCTCCAGTAAAAAAGCAAAAAAAAAGGACAACAAACTAGCAATTATTAAAAATTACTGTACCCATTTTTCACAAATAAGAGTAATTAATGAACAACTTTGTTAACAATTATTCCCTATTGTTTTCCATTTAGGCTAAATGAGATTAATGCTGAAGTCACATGTGCTGATACTTAAGTACACCCTCAAAAAATTGCTGACTGCTACACTATCATTTTGAAACTTGACAGTTGAATACTACTGAGAAATGAGATAAACAATTGTTTGATGTTTTTGAAACTCCAGCAATGTTCATAAACATAGATACTTTTACAATTTTCCTTTCCTTATTTTACAGGTTAACATAGATACTTGAATACACATTTCATTTAATTCCTATCCACATAATTTAAGACACAAAACATGTTGGATTAAGCTAGTTTTTTGTTTAATCATTCCAAACACTCACACCAAAATATTATTTTGATACACAAAATGATAGCCACATTTAAGAATGCTACTTGTAACACATTACAATTTTAAATTAATTTCTGTTGATGTTACTCTAAAACATGACCTATTTCACTTGATACAGTTGTACACAAAGATCATATTTAAATTGATGCAGTTGTACACAAAGATCATATTTCAATTGATACAGTTGTACAGTAAGATCATATTTTTTGCCATACATGCAATAGCACAACTAATTCAATATCAATCTTCTCTGCCCATGCTAGAATGACTCTCCACTAAGGTCCACAAACCCAGTACATCTATCATGAAACAAAAGAAACCAGCCTACAGACTTCAACTGAGCCAATAAAAGTTGGGAATGAACAGTGGATCAGAAAAATTCACCTCTGCAAAGCCAGTTAATTAGAAAAAATGATTACCTGAACTTAATGTGGATCTTGGGCATAGAACTCCTATTATCAAACAACAAGCCTCCAATTTATTTTAGTAAGAAAAAACCTTATGATTTGAGAAAATGCAGGAAATCTGAACATTTTGGTTGAAATCTGGTCTTTATGTTATAATTATTATGGGTTGATGGAACTGTTGATACAGAGAGACATTAGTAACAGCATTGATATATATTTTATATATATAATTGTGTGTACACCAATAACATACTTAGGTTTTACAGACACCCCAGACTATACTGTTTTGGCCTAGTATGTCATATAATTACATCAATACAAAATTGGCACACTCACACAAAATACAATGGCTGCATTTTGACTTCAAAATAAACTGTTCACTGCAAAAAGTGACAATAGCAGTCAGGTTTTTGTGAAATCTTTACCTTGGTCATTACCTCAACTTAATAGTAGTAAGTGATGCTGGGATTAAGCAAAAGAATAAGCAAATAAGTAAAGTAGACTAGGAAACATCTGAATTGATGACAGAGAGACTTGTAAAGCTAAAGATGCAGAGATAATGTGTTGCAAAACTCTTTTTATGCAGAACCTGAATTGCAGAAACTGTGTGATCGTAGAGAAGTGGAAATTGAAAATTAATGTGATAAAAAGAAACAACCAGTCTGACATGGGGAGTAATGGAGGAAAAGATAAAGAACTACATTCTGATCTGAAACATTTTAAACACAAAATTGAAGAACTATTAGAAAAAATAACTGGTGAATTGTGGGACATTTCCAACAGAACACTTTGCAAATAGAAAACTTCTAGTTATTCTATGAACTTGACAGTTTACAGACTCCAACATAATCTACTATGCACAATAAGAACACTCTGAAACTTAGACTAACTACTGCTAAGCTGCCTTAGAAAAAACTAAACAGGAAGAAAAAGCAAGCTTCATTTCAAGATATGGAATGAACATAGCCTTACTTGCACCATTTTACATAGATTTAGTTATGGTGTTAGCCAGCTTATACCCACAGAGTCCAATGGGGCCAGGAATCTGTTAAAATTGGACAGACAGAGTCATAAAGATAAATTGGCCAGTTGTCTCTACATTTAAATTTCGAAATGACATGCAAATGAGAATAAATTCCAGAATCAAACAACTGACAGCTCGAGTGTCAACAAGAGTTAGAATGTATTTTCTAGTTCTACAACAAAGAGCACTGAAAGGATGAGAGAGAGAATTATGAAATCTTGCAACAAAGAAGACACAGCAATCCAAGTCATACAGATTACAACATCTTAAAATTGCACAGGAGAGCAACGAGCTGAACTTCTATCCAGGATCTGGTATATTTCAATGTCAATGTCAAGATGCCACAATATCAACACTAAATGTGGGTAGTAACATTAGTCTCGTAATTCCTGAACAATCACAGAATAAAATATTAAAATTTGCCTTATAATTTATCCCGACAGAAACTTTTACCTTTCTTTACTACAATACATGAATACCTTGTCAAAGTATCTGCTATGTTAAAGATACAATAATATGATTTGACCTTGTTATGATAATTTGTTTGTTTTTTATTTTCTCATCATTACAAAGTTTCTTTGCTAAGTATGAATGATACAACACTATATTATATAGAACAACAAACTGACCTCCATAACGCCTACAACTCTGCCATATTGGCCGGCTCCTCCATGCTGCTTTTTATGAAGATAATCAAACTCACATGGACCTAGCAGACATTCTCGAAATGCTACTTTTGGTTTACCCATCACAACTGGACAGTTGTATTCTCGCTCCATTCTCTAACCATAAGAAAAACACTAATATAATAATTGTTACTATTTCTCCATTTTGGGATTAAACTCTCTTCTTTGATGTTATCTTAAAACACCAGAGGTAATTGTCTTTTGTTATTTATAACACTATGTTTCAAATTTATTTAAGTTAATAACTTTCAATCATTGTAACAATTAGTAATATTGAAGAACTAAGTAAACAGTTTGAAATGAAAATTTCAAATTAAAGTTATTCAATAAACTTATTCTTATTTAAAACAGTTAATGCAAAGAGAAATAAGATTTAGTTTGTTACAATATAAATTTTCTTAATTAATGACGACTAAAATACGAACACTTAGCAAGTTAAACATATCAAAACTTTGTAAGATTATTTTGCTTAAGTATCACTGGAATACACTGACTTACCAACAATTAATTAGACACTCACTTCAATATAGTTATTTTATTGAATAATAAAATATAAAAAACAAAGGGGACCAGATTACCACTAGTATTTAGTGGATCTACCCTTTCCAATGTTTTAGAGCAAAAACACAGATAATAATGTCATTTTTACAAGATCTGAAAATTGGCCCTGTAGAGTTGCTTCCTACTACTGGCAAATAACTAAGATGAGGGTGTTCCTTTTAGTTGGTTGTTTCAGGTGTTTTCACACATGTTCAATAGGGTTCATATCTGGCAATTGGTCTGGCCACAGGAGAAAGGTAATGGTCTGACTTTAAAACCATCAGTTTGTAACTTGGGATGAGCAAGCAGAAGTCCCATCTTGCATAAAAACACTGTCTTGTCTGGTAAACTAGTCTTTAGTGTAGTCAAGTAGAAAGCTTTAATCAAAAATTATGCTGTATCAAACAGTAATGACTGTCTCTTCACATACCAACTGCTGTGATTGTCCAGCAGCCCAAATAGTACTCCACACCATAATAAACCATACTTTGTTGTGGGTCGAAGTTGGATTCAACAAAATTCCCTATGAGAATATCCCCCCCCCCCCAAGGTTCACTGACTGAACTTTGTGCAAAATTGGACTCATTGGACAAAATTAGTGTCCTAAAATGTGATACAGCTTGAAGAGGGGAAACTCTTCCATCTACTTATTTTACCACTGTAACCTAAACTCAGGAATGCAGATAATGTCTGACGATTTTGGGGCACACTTCCATCTGTTCTGCAACAGTGAAAGTTGTTTGACATTGGTAATTCTCCACACTTCTCTTCACAGCATAGAGTTCATTCTATTGGTTTAGGATGCTCAGGTTGTGAAGAAACTGTTGTTTTACAAGATGACTGCAATGGAATTGTCACTGCTATTCACTGTGGACATCAGTATTACAAGTTACCTGGCAATTTCTCACTGACTTTGACTGCCCTCCCATCAAACTATGTGATCTTGTAGTAAGATAAATGTTAACATTTTCCTCACCAGAAATGTATTTCTGATAGATACTCACCTCCATACACTTAATAGCTTATATTCCTCTTGTGTTTACATGACATGTCAAAGAGACTTGCAAGCCATCAGCCTTGTGAAGGATCCCACCTCTTTCCACATGAATGTGTGTTCCTGAATGATGTAATCATGAAGCAGAACCCTCCACCAATAGGAGTGCAACACACTTCCCTGCACAGTGACACCCTCTACACACATGCTTGTGAATTATTTTTCTTTGACATGGCAATAGAAAACATTTGTACTGAGATAGTGAGGAGAATGGGTGGTAATGTGTGTAGAGGTATTTTTTTGGAAATAAATTTTCAGGTATGAAAAATGTTAACTTTCAAAAAATACTCAATTTCACACACAAAACAGCTAGAATCCCACAGTGAGATGGTTGAGGGACAGGTACATAGATGACCTAGATAAGCTGTCTTCAATGTCACACCCCATGGGCTTCCTTTGAACCCCTGATGGCAGGGGCACACCCGTGTGAGACCCCATCTTGTCTTATCCAGAGCATATTCTTCACCTGTGTATAAGAGAAGAGGCAGAAAAGCTTGAATAGTGTCACAAGGATGGGTGGAATAAGTACATGACCATCTGAGTACTCGCACACAAGCCATCAGATAGCCAATACGTGTAATGAGGTTGTGGCTTCTTCAGACTGTACTTCATATGCTTACCTCCTCTACTATCAAACTCAACAGGTCAAAACCAGTTATAGGAAAAAGGCACATGTAATAAGTATTCACGCTCACATTCCTCTCTATCGTCAAGTCTCTACAGGCCCCATGCCAGCTGTAGGATGAGAAGAGTGCACTGTATAAAATCATGTCAGTATGGATACTTATATAACTTCTACTCAACCATCAGTCATTATGGGCTCCTTGCCTGCTGATGGAATAGGGTGTGTGAGTGATACATCACTGGTGTATACTGTATAGTCATGTCAATTCTATCATCAGTTTCTACAGACCACATGCCAGCCACAGGAGGAGGGCCCCATATTAAACATACCCCCACTTGACCATCAGTTTCTACAGGACAGATGCCAGGTGTGGAAGTGGAGTGTTTTTTTTTTCTTTTTGCAGTATGATGTAGAATGGACCAGAAATAGAGTGCATACCTCAACTCTGCTGAACAGATTTTGGATACAGGAGGAGGCTTAGGAAGATAAAGTCATATATAAAGGATTGAAATAGTGATTTGTAACATCAGTCCACTTCAAGATTGTGATGTATCATAGTTATACATGTGGGGTGACCTGCATACACTAAGGTGTCACTCCAACCCCACTTCTCACTATACAGGGACCCCTTGTTCTAGCCACAGTGGTTAGGATTCTCCATGATCCATCACCCCAACAGCTGGGAACTGGTAAGTGACAAGGGTCTCTTGCACTTCACTCAATGAGGGGGTGGATTCAAGTAGGGGAGAACCAGATAATATGCCCCGATTCCCATCCGTCCTTTAGTCTGGAAAGGTCTTTTACTGGAGACAGTACAATGGGAGACTGCAAAACCCTATTTTTAAAAGCCAGCAAGGTGGGCAGATACAAAACTCCAGTACTGGCTTTTTCCACAATAGTCCATGGAACGTTTGGGATGGTTATGGTCTGGATACGAAATGTAATATAGATATGTATTGAAATACCACTACGAAACCTCAAGTGGTCTTGTAGAAAACCCTATCACACAGTGGGCACCTGTAGGGCCAGGGTGAATGGTATGAGCAATATTCTGTTATTCTGGCCCAATGCAGATTTTGTGTAAACATACCCTGGGAGGCAACACTAGCTGCCTGGTGGGAACCTATGGTAAGTTGTGAGTAAGAAAAATATAATTACACACACTTGTTTAAAGTTGAAAGGTGGATTGAAAAATGGCTATGGGCAGAAGTCTAAATCACTTCAATGACAAGACAGATAGGTGGTGGAGATAGTGGATGACAAAGGTGTGTGGGGTAGTCCACATGCTAGCCTGGAGTATCTCCTCTAGAGGATGGTGTAAGTGGGCTGCAAAGAAATGTGTAAGATGTCAAGTCTAGTGAGAGAAGACATGAAAGAGCTGACAAACATCCAACCCCTAAAGAGAAGTAAACCAGATGGATGAATTGGTGGATCCATCTGGTAAGAGTGGAGGGCAAGAGGTCTCGTCTCCAGTAGAGGAGGGGTCTCAAGAATGAAAAGACAGTGGCAGACACACCAAAAGGAGGAAATGCAAGATAGATAAAAATGAATGGCGCATACAGAACATAAGTCTGTCTGGGTCAGAATGGTCATAGACATGGGGTATAGAAGGAAGGGATATGGGAGAAAGGTGTGACCACCTTCTCTAACAGTGGAAGTCTTGAAAAGGAAGGACTGCTTGGGGTAAATAAGAAGTTAAGTGTGGTAGTAGAGAATGACAGTGACTACAGGCAAGAAGGAGAAGGTAGTAGGTTTTTGAGTGTGACAATATAGAGAGCAAGTGGCAAGAAGTTTGAAAAGGTCCCAGGTGAGAGCATAAAGAGCCACATTTGGGTCCCAGACAGGCAAGGTAATATGACAGGGGGGATCCGGGGATTAGGAAAGAATGAAAGACAATTCTGCAGCATCAGGAAAAGTAGAATGTGATAGATAGCACCAATGGTAGAGACTGAGAACCAACAGATGAAGAGCAGCATGAAGAAGGAGTTAAGGTGTTGTAAGGTAGGTCTAAAGTCCAAAAGCAGAAGGTACTGGAACAAGTGCCCCCTTGTCAGTTGATATAAAATACACACTTTTGTTTGTGACATGGTTGTTTGTATTCTATGGTCTTTACTGAATTATACATATATTCATATGTCGAGATGATTTGAATATGACATCATGGAGATAATGATTTGTATTCTCAGGAGTGTTTAATTACTGTGTACTTCATAATGGACTGTGAAAGAAACACACAGTGAACAAGTTAACTATCACTCTACTCACATATACATAAAAACTGCATATACTATTAAAAAAACTAAATACCTGTGCATAAATGTCAAGATGCAGCTCACCCATTCCTGAGGCTATTGTCTAAATTGAAGAAAAGAGAAATGAAAATACAGCATAATAAAAACTTCAAAATTGATGTACAAAAATTAAAGTATGTTATAATTTCATTATTATACATATGGTTTACATACAATATCTTCATTTTCAACTTTCCTTTACTACAGAACATCAAGTCCCCTTTCCTGACCACTACTTCAGTTGAAACAAAAATGTTTCTGAAATCCCTGCTGAATTAGAGAAAACAACTGACAAAATAAATCAAAACAAAAACAATGCTTGAGCAGATAGTTGACAGATTATACCCACTTTCACTTATTGGTCTTAACAATCAAATAAATTTTAAAACTTTTTTGCTCTTTTTTTTTTTAAATAGTTTATAGTAACATTAATCATCACCAGATGATGCCAACATTCCAATTAAAAAGCTATACTGCTTATTTTTTGGGTCTTTGCCAAGATCTGCTGGTAAAGGTACATATCTTTGAACTAAAATTCAAGCAAAACTGGATAGAAATAGAGAAGTGCAACAGCATTAACACAATGAAAGTTATAAAGAGGCAAGTAATTAACTGCTTGGAGTTTTCAAGGTTGATAAAAGATGTTGGAAACTTCTGTTGTTAGAAGCCCCAAGTTTTAAGGCATAACTCATTTCAGATATAGCGAGTAAAAGTTAAAAGCTCAAATAGTAATGGAAAGTGGGTCAGTTCATTTTGGGCAACTGCCTTCAAGTTACACATCTTTCAACTGTGATTTATCTAACCTTTTAGCATATTGTATTACTGTCATAACTCATTACCTATGGTAAGATTTATCCCAAGGAAAGGAAAGAACACATAAAGGTGATTTATAGGTGAATACAGTAATACAAATAATTATGGAAACACATAAGCAATACATATACAGTTGTCACAAACAACAAATAATGGCACCTAGATGAAGTATTTATTAATATTGCAAACATTATCACATAAAACAGAAATATGAATAAGGTATATAATGCACTAGTGTTTCGTATGTGAACCCACTACTTAACACAGAGCATTATTCATTGCTTTCATGCTGCATTACACTTTATCAATGTATAATTATGGAACACTGTTCCAAGTGTCCTATGTTACTCCCTATAATTCAGCTAAGTGTTTGCATAAATCCATACAGTCTCAGTAATGTCTATATTAGGACTTCATGCAGACCAAACCATAGTTGTGAGTGTTCCATCAGTCTCTTTGTAATTTTATCACACTCACTGTAAGCTTGGGATTACTGTATTGTTGGAAGATGAACCCTCTCCTAATACAATGTTCATGATGGTTCAAAATCTATATATACTTGATAGCAGTCAGAGTGCTATCAATGTGATTTAGATCACCAACACAACTGATTGAGATGTAACCCCAAACTTTTACTGATGCCTCACTGTAGATTTTGTACATTGACTATGATACCATTTTTCCTCTCCACTGTTGAACGAACTTCATTTATTGTCAAACAATTGGAATTGGACTCATCTGTAAAGAACACACACAAGTCTTATTTTGCTCATTCCACTCTTTGTGATTTAGTGCCTATTTCAACCTATTGGTTTGGTTATATCCACTCAGCAACAATTTTCTGCAATTACACATCTACTAATGTTAATGTGTATCTTACTGTTCTCAAGGTAACATTTGCACCTGTATTTACAGCAAGTTAATTTACAATTTCAGTACTAAACCATCGTCCATCTCATAAAAAACATACCGTTAGATACTTAATATCATTTTTGGAGATTTTTGGTTTCCCATCTTTCTTTTTTTTTTTCCATGGAATATCCTTGATCAGCCAAAACTTTAATTGTTACATGCTTGTCATATAGTATGTCAATCCTGGAAACCATTACTGGATTTACACTACTACTACTACTGGCCACAGTTTGGATAACAAACAATCACATTGTAAACTATCATCAAGTGACTGTACTCTGGTATAGGTAATTTTCACATTATACAAGGCTAATATTCTTGTACTATTTGCCTCTTATACTTAATTAACTTATATATAAAAAAAAACTTATTTTGAAAAATCTCACCTCTAAACCATGTATATAATTTACCTATTTGAAAATAAATTGGGATTGTGCAAATAACACTAACTACTTAGATCTCAAGCATGCAAACATGAAAAATAAAAGAACTGGAAGAAAATGATTCAAATAAATAGCCCTTCACCTGATGTATAATTCAAAATACAACCCACAAGTTAAACATTATTTCTAAATGTTATCTTTATGTATAACCTGCATTATGGATTACAGTGGAATTCAAATGAACCAAACCTTAGCAACATTTTGAATCACGTTATGTTTCTGTACTGTAGTAATACATGTTGCATTACAGTTTTTTTCTTTAACAGGAATAAGATTTTTATACACTCTCCAAAATACTTTTGAACAAACACCTTATAAAAACATATCAATCTCAACGAGCTATTGCGTTGAACTAGAATATAAATCTTCTGCTAACTGTAATTATGTCTCGCAATCCAATTCTACACATTACTTGCTTGTTTCTTAAATCTACTATTTTCTATTGAATTTTTAAGTAAAGTAAGTATCGACTGAAACAGAGACTATTTACATCCTTATACAATATCTGTGATACATTTTATCTTTCAGAATACTTCTTTTCTTCCAAATCTACAGTTTAATTTAAATAGTTATTTTTTATAATTGATTTTCACATTATTTATAAAGAATGTTTTAGTTCATTTTACCGTTACTTGATCTGCAGTATGACAAATTATCTTTATATTAACTGATCGTTTAATTGTTTATGTTTTCTTTTTTTCAATTCAGTTTTTGGTTTATATTAGGATTACTTCCCTTAAATTTATTTTGGGAATGATCTTTTGCTTCTTACTATACATTATTTTGGTGGTGTTAATCATTTAATGCAATCTTTATTGCAAATGGTCTGGCAATGTCATGATGTTGTATAATCCTTTGTTGAATTAAAGTAAAAGTGGACAATTTTCAACTCATACTTCATTTGAAATCCTCTATCCTGTACTTTGCTTTGTGCTACTTCAACATTTACTCCATTATTCTTGCCTTAAAGTAAACAGATTTGTTTTGTGTAAACTTGAGTTTTCCAAGGGAGAAAATAGTAACCGAGAGATATTTTGAATATACTTAAATCACTCTGCAATGAACTTACTTCTTTTAAGTCCATATTCATTCATTTCTTCTGATTTATGAAAACCTTTTTTTTAATTACTAATAAAGCTTAGTACCTTTGAACACCTACAATACATACAAACCCTTTGTTCCAGCCATTTTGATTATGGTAGAGGTCTACAAGTATTATTCAAGTGATAACTGGTTAATATTACCAAACGTGGCAGTGCTCTGCCTAAGATAACTAGAACCCTGTGTATTTTACTTAAAATTACTTAAAAATATGAACAAGGATTACTTGAATAATATATATTTATATAAAGTACAGCTGTTAATTTGTTGGTGTCTGGAATTGTGTTGAAAGATCTTACATGAACATTTGGGTAAAGCCTACTATTGCTCTCATTATACAGGTATAACAGTAAACACATTCATAGTGACTTAATTCTCTGTTAAATTCTTCTCCAAAATGAGATAATAAGTTTAAGCTCAGTTTCAACAAGTGTTTCTCATTATCCATACCTGTATATGAACATGCATAAATTCAAGTATTCACATAATGAATTTCTACCCAATGTTTAAATTGCATGCACATAAACTGTGTACCCAGTAAAACACTGTTTCATGGACATCTTAGTCTTTTTTTCAGTGTTGAATTATGGATAATATGGCCATCTGGGTAATGAGTCACAACATGGCAGTCACATTTTTGCTGATTGTAGCCAGCTCAGCATAGCAGGTTATAAAAAATTTGCAATCCTGTATAGCAAACACACAATTTTATATAATAATTTATCAATATTTTACAACTAATAGAGAGCATGCTAATTTAAAATATTTAATTAGGAAACCTTAAATCACTAGTGATTTTCTCATAGGTAGTGGGTACTTGTGCTCCAGACTTAAAAAAAATGCCTAAAGAAAATGAGCATAAATCATTGTTTTTTGGCTAAAATGGCAAGCTTTTTAACAAATTCTATAACCTATCATGATTGTTTTCATAAATATCTAGTACGAAGTAGGCTAGGCCTACATTTTTATAGTAGTCTAATGAAGTGGGGAAAAAAAGGAGTACAATGTATACCACAAATAGGGAAACTGAAGGGGCACATTGATATTTACCGAGTCAATTACCTAAATATACTAATAGAAATAACTACTTATATCTTTATACTGCAACATTGTAATTCTTATTACTCTTTCCAATTTTTGTTTTGCAGTTGTCAACTTAATTTACCATGATTAGCAAAATCCTGTTATTGTTTTAACAATAAATACAACAGTAACCATAGACTATCCTGCTAATAAAAAACATAACAAAAAACAGATAAAAACATGTAAAAATTGACAAAATGTTTTATAAAATAAATAATTTCTGGAGGTCTTTTCCTAAACAAAAAGTAATTTAAGCTTTTGCACACATTTTGCAATGCTTAATTGTTGTTCTTATGTATTATGCAAAAAACTGTTCAAAAGCTACATCATATTTGTAAAACTAACAGTTCAACACCAATACTCAATGCTGGGTGCATATTTTTTCTGTATATAGTAATAAATTTCTCATAATTTTATAATCAATATAAATTACAAAACTAGTAGCTTCTGCATATTTTTCACAAACTAGTCTTAAAACTAATAACATAAGTTACCACTCACTAAATTATTAAAACACAAAGTTTGAAAATACAAATAATAGTGAAAATAAGAGATTTTGTTCTTTACACTTATATTAGTAAATTTCTAATTTAATAATAAAACTAAGCAGTCTTGGTACAATCTAAAAAGGAAATACTTTATTGTCAAATTCAAATCCACAATTTTATAACAAATTAAAAATCAAGAAACCAAAAAGAAAATTTGGAAAGCTTGAGAGATTGTCTTCTATCATGTGCCCATCAATTGATTATAGATACTTAAATACAAGCATAACCTTGATGGATTAGTTTAAATTTTTAAGCATAATAATACCACAATACACCTTGTTAAAACTGAATAAGCATGGTTGTATTTACAACCTTGGATAAACATTTCACTTGAGAACATTAGAATACTAACGACTATTGGAACAACTTTTAACTTTTCTTTGCAAAGTTTCCATCTCCTTTTTATACAACTTCTTTGAAATGATCTTAGAAATTGTAAATGATACAAATAAAGAGTTACAGTTTCATTTACTTAAAGGTGAGTGTGCCTACTACTTACCTCCTTGCTATCTGTATCAAAGTAGACTTGATAAGTTGGATCTTCACGGGTAAACCTGTTAATACCTTTAGAAAAACTGTCATTGTCCTTCGAGTTCTTAGGTTTAATAGACATGGATATTACCGGATCTGGAACATAAATTGATTCCTGAAAAGTAAAATATTTTAAATTTTATATAAACTAAATTTTTTTTTTAAATTACAATTAATATAGGAGTCTGGAGTGAAACTGTGAGCAATGCTTATACAGAAGTTGTTTTTTAGTGTTATAACAACAGAACATCTAAATTTATGTAAAAATTCTTTTGATATACAGATGCACACTATATAACGTCAAACTATTAAACAAGAATTTAGTTCTCTAAATAACAAACACTTAAAACTTTTTTGACTCACAAATTACTGCATTTCTGGAAATTCAATTAATAATCAAGTTGTTTGTAATTATAAAAATATTTTTACCTAAATGATCAGAACTTTTATTTTGAATCTAACAGCTGTGCTATGAATGTATGTAGAATTTAAAATGATAAGAGAAGCTTCAGATAACTCATACAGAAATGACTTCTCTTTAATTAAAGCTATAAGAACTTATGAGTGAAAATAAACAAAAATGTATATCACTATAGTGTTGATGAGACCTTCTGCCTAATACCAGGGATCATCAGGTCAGCTGGAGTACAGTAGAAATATTAATGGTTGAAACAGTATTTATATAAGATAAACTGCTTTAGCGTAAACTAGATTAAGTTCATGAACTGGATCTTTAAATCTCATTTTAAGTAATTACACATCAGAATTACATTTAAGATTTTTATTAACATCAAGTTATTTATTCATTTTAACACCCAGTTATTTGTTATTAATTATTATTTTCCCAAGTACTAAAAGGTAACTCTGCCTCAGACAAATATTATCTAAACAATTAGCAGTAAAAGTTAGGTTGCAAAATAGGATTTTTTTACTTGGATTTTTTAAGTAATAGAAATTTTTGAGACATAAAATTTATTTACTACACCTCATTCCAGTTTCTGTGAAAAAATTAAATCTATGCAAGTTAAGACGTAGAAAAAATATTAAATCAAATAAATAAAATCTTTTTATTAAGCTTGAAAAATTAATATTTCTTTCTTAATTTCTACAATTATAAAAAATAGTTTTCATAACAACAATAAAAACTTGAAAGAAAAAAGTAAAAGTAAAAGCCTACCATAGAGACTTTCAAGTTTTTCTTTGTTACAAAAGTATCACCACTGGCACAATCAATACCAAACAGTGTACAAATATCACCAGCATATGCTTCCTGGATGTCCTCCATTGTATTAGAATGCATTCTCGCCAATCTGGAAACTTTGGTACGTTTTCCTGTTCTTGTATTGTAAATATAATCACCTTTCTTTAACATGCCTTGATATAACCTTAGATAAGTCAGCTGTCCAAACCTTCCTGCCTGAAGATGAAAGAAGTCAACTACATATTATAACTAAAGTTTATGTTCTATCACTATACCTATTTTAAATTTATAATTACTAAACAAATAAGAATGCATGAACACAGGACAAATTCATTTTAGTATGATGCAGTATTATACACTCTAATTCTTAAATATTACTGACAAGTGACACATAAAAAGTTTTAAATATTTCATTGACAAGTACTAGTCTTCTTGTAATGTTTCATTAAGCAATTTACAACAAAATACTTATAAAAGTTTTCTCTTCAGGAATCTATTTGTTTTTAACAAACTGCAAAAGATGTATTATTTGAATTTAAAAGTCAGTTTGAAACCATTTTATTTCATGCTTATTTACGAATTAATAATATAAACCTACCTCCAATTTAAAAGCAAGAGCTAAACATGGCTTAGCATCATTTCTTGATGGATCCATTAAAATTTTATTTTCTTCTGACCTATACATTAAAACAACCGAGTAAAGTTACACAACCTTCAAATTAAAAATTATACATTAAAAAGTAGAATGTTACATTGAAAACAATAATTTTTAAATGCTAATTAAAAAGAAATGGAAAATATAAAAATGAATACATTTTTTTCTATAGTCTATAACTATTCACTTCTAGTTATACTAGTTTCCATCAGCATTAATTAACATAATTTCTTAAAACAAAACAAATGGCCATAAGTGAACTAGTGATAATCGTAAAAGTAATTATAAAATGGTTCATATAAAAGGTTTACCTACCCCTTCTACAACAGGTTAATGAATATTATCAATAATTCAGATTATAATCTCACAATAAAAGGAAAAGACAAATGAATCTTTAAAATTCAGCTGGAAAACACAAATCATAACCACCTTTAGAGTCACTGATTCCTTACAGGTATGTTCGGCAAACAAAAACCTCTACATGTAGGAAAAACTTAAACATAATATGTCTGTTAATTTTGAAATGGGGATAGGTGTGATTCATTGTTTGTGGCCGACTGTCACAAAAAACATGCTCTACATTTTAGAGCCATGGGTGCTAAAAATAACAGAGATAATTAAATCCTGATATTTTAGTAGACAAAAGTACACCCAAGAGTTGGAGATAAGTGTTGTTGACTAGCTGCCTTCTTTCAGCTCAAAATTAAGAATACTTATGTAAAGGGTGACCTTTATGTAGTCTTGCAGAAAAATTCTGAAACAAACAAGCTTTGTAATAAACAACTAACAGAAAATATTCATTAGCTTGGATTGTAGAGCTTCACTAAGATTTTTCTTAATAAAATAAATCATTCACCATACATCCCTGACCTTAAAGTTGACCAAAAAATAGAGCATTTTCATACTTTTAATATTCTACGTCAAACTATTCTTGATTAAAGGGACCTTTACCCTTGTTCATCTAAAGCATAGTTATTCACTTCTGATGGATTTGGTAGGTATGATATCACAGCATCAAGAAGAGGCTGTACCCCTTTATTTTTCAGCGCAGAGCCCACTAACACTGGAATGAACTTTCGCTGAATGACAGCTCTTCTAATTCCTGCCTAAAAGAATCAGCAATTAGAATAATTATTTCATTACAGTAAAAAATGTATGAGATTCAAAAAAATTACACAACATGTAAAAATGCCATAAATTTTAGGCTTTTTCACTAGGATTAGCAGTTTCTAAAACAATATTATATGCAGGTATTTTTTTATATTTTCCTTCTAACAATAATAATAAACCACAAAATTATTCATATTCAACAAATGTTGTTAATAAGTTTTAATTTCAAACTACATTAAATGTATCAGCTATGTCCTACTGTCTAAAAAAGAAACTTTACTGAATAATACAAAAAATGAGGTTATAAGAAACTTTTGTGAAATATTGTCATAAAGAGACTGTAAGAAACTTATCTCAAATACTGACAAAAGCAAACTATGAGAAACTTATCTCAAATACTGACAACAGCAAACTATGAGAAATTTATCTCAAATACTGCCAAAAAAAAAACTGTGAGAAACTTATCTCAAATACTGAGAAAAGCAGACTTGAGGAACTTAAATGAAATAGTGCCACAAGCAAACTATGAGAAACTTATGTGATATAGTGCCAAAAGCAGACTTGAGAAACTTATCTGAAATAGTGCCAAAAGCAAACTAAGAGAAGATTAACTGAAATACTGAAAAAAGTAAAGTACAAGAAACTAATCTGAAATAGTGCCAAAAGAAGACCTGAGAAACTTATCTCAAATACTGCCAAAAGCAAACTATAAGAAACTTATGTGAAATAGTGCCACAAGCGAGCTATGAGAAACTTATCTGAAATACTGCCAAAAGTAAACTACGAAAAACTAATCTGAAATAGTGCCACAAGCAAACTATGAGAAACTTATCTGAAATACTGCCAAAAGTACACTGTGAAAAACTAATCTAAAATAGTGCCACAAGCAAACTGAGAAACTTATCTGAAATACTGCCAAAAGTAAACTACGAGAAACTTATCTGAAATACTGCCAAAAGTAAACTACGAAAAACTAATCTGAAATAGTGCCACAAGCAAACTATGAGAAACTTATCTGAAATACTGCCAAAAGTAAACTACGAGAAACTAATCTGAAATAGTGCCAAAAAGAAGACCTGGGAAACATATCTCAAATACTGCCAAAAGCAAGCTATAAGAAACTTACGTGAAATAGTGACACAAGCAAACTATGAGAAACTTATCTGAAATACTGCCAAAAGTAAACTACGAGAAACTAATCTGAAATAGTGCGAAAAGAAGACCTGGGAAACATATCTCAAATACTGCCAAAAGCAAGCTATAAGAAACTTACGTGAAATAGTGCCACAAGCAAACTATGAGAAACTTATCTGAAATACTGCCAAAAGTAAACTACGAGAAACTAATCTGAAATAGTGCCAAATGAAGACCTGAGAAACTTATCTCAAATACTGCCAAAAGCAAACTATAAGAAACTTACGTGAAATAGTGCAACAAGTAAACCATGAGAAACTTATCTGAAATACTGCCAAAAGTAAACTACGAGAAACTAATCTGAAACAGTGCCAAAAGAAGACCTGAGAAACTTATCTCAAATACTGCCAAAAGCAAACTATAAGAAACTTATGTGAAATAGTGCCACAAGCGAACAATGAGAAACTTATCTGAAATACTGCCAAAAGTAAACTACGAAAAACTAATCTGAAATAGTGCCACAAGCGAACTATGAGAAACTTACGTGAAATAGTGCCACAAGTAAACCATGAGAAACTAATCTGAAATAGTGCCAAAAGCAGACTTGAGAAACTTATCTTAAATACTACCAAAGATAAGCTATGAAAAACTTATCAGAAATGCCACAAAAAGCAAACTATGAGAAATTTATCTCAAATACTGCCAAAAAGAAATTGTGAGAAACTTATGTGATATAGTTCCAAAAGCAGCTTGAGAAACTTATCTGAAATAGTGCCAAAAGGAAACTAAGAGAAGATTAACTGAAATAGTGTCAAAAGCAAACTAAGAGAAGATTAACTGAAATAGTGTCAAAAGCAAACTATGAGAAACTAATCTGAAATAGTGCCAAAAGCAGACTTGAGAATCTTATCTGAAATACTCCCAAAGGGAAAATGTGAGAAACTAAACTTATCTGAAATACTGCCAAAGGGAAACTGTGAAAAACTTATCTGAAATAGTGACAAAAGCAGATTATGAGAAACTTATCTGAAATACTGTCAAAAGGAATTTGTGAAAAACTTGTTTGAAATACTGCCAAAAAACAAAAACTAGGAAAAACTTAAATACTGCCAAAAAAAAAACTATGAAAACTTATCTGAAATACTCCAAAAAGCAAACTGTGAAAAACTTACCAGATACACTACAGAAACGAAACTATGATAAACTTGTTTAAAATACTGCCAAAAGGAAATATTGAGCAACTTATTTGAAATAATACCAAAAGGAGACTGAGAAACTTATATGAAATACTGCCAAATGGAGATTGTGAGAAACTTATCTAAAATACTGTTAAAAAAAGTCTGTGAGTAACTTATCTGAACCATAGTCAAAAGTAAACTTTTCTAACCCTAGTGTCAGGAGAATACTATAAGGCATTTCCTTATATATAGTGCTTGAAGTGAGAGAAAAGAGGAAGCAGGATGGTTTGTGAAATTTTTGAAGCTTAAATAAAGGGATGGGATGGTTTTTGAAATTCTTGAATTTGAAAAAAAAAGCCTAATTGGTTAATTTTAGATTAGGCCAACATGTATCAGCCTGAAATAGCCACTCTGAACTTTTATAGTTTATTAATTAAATTTATAATAATATAATCACACACTTTTTTTTCCTACAGTGATAGGACAAACAGTGAATCAACAGGAAGATCGTTGTTTCTCAATCATGGCTTAAAAAGTTTAAGTGGAAAAACCAACCAAAAATTAGAAACTCATTAAGTTAGATTAAGGAGATAATGAAAAAACAATTCTAATTTCCTTTTTTTGTGAATTAGAAAAATTTTTGAAATTAAGCCCCCAAACACAGTAATTAATTTAGAAGTAACTCAAGTGTCATATGAAACTCAGGTAATGTTGTTGGTGTAATTAAGGTAAAAACAGATAAGGTCAAGCTTGTTGACAGAGAGTGAATTCTAGTCCAGCATCTAAAGATCAGAAGATCTGTTGCCCCATATAAAATGTACCTCAATCAGAGAGAGAAGCATTAAAGAAGAGGGAGATCTGTGTTTGAGAGGTGGTAAGGAAATGCAATAAGTAGGACCATGACAATTCCTATAGGAAAGGTTCACAAAAGAAGGCAAGAAAGAAAACCCTGGGTCCACAAGATCCGCTGTAGGAGATACATAAAGACATACCCCAAAGGAAGGAGGGATTCTAGAAAAGCCAAAGTCCTCAAGAAGGAAATAACCTCTCATGCAGGGAGAGAACAAAAAAGTGGAAACCTAATGACCAGATGTGCCATAGTTTTGCAGGAAAAGAAGACAGGTTGAACTCAGTTGGAACAAGAAAAGAGAGATATGCTCAAAAGTATCCAACATTGAGCAGGTGTGAGAAAGGACTTTGATTCCATGAAACGTTCCCCCTCCAACTAAGCAGCTACCATAGAAAGAGGGATGTAAGAGAAAACATCCAAGAATTGGTTAATAGATATAAATTGAAAAAGAAAAGGGACACCAGCCATGGATCATGAATATGTCAAATGAAGGCTCTCATGATACAAATAAATATAAGATGGACCCATGTTGAGTTGAAGGGAAAAGCAAGGAAAGGGAAGATGCAAAAAACAAAAAGAGAACCGGTCATGAAAGACATGTAGTAAGGTGTCCAACACATTGACCATGGCCAATCACAGATTGGGTGAAAAAGACCAAAGATGAGATTAGAGGGAGGGTAAAGGGAAGAAAAATGAAGAGGAGTGAAAAGAGAGAGTAAGGTGCTGAAATAGAAAATTAATGTTGGAAGAAATTGAGTCTAACAACAGGAGACAGGTTTCTACAAAATTGTATGTATATGTGATAGTCACTGGCAAGAAGAGTGACAATCAAAACTTCATTAAAGGGAGGGCAAGAAAAAGAGGATGGCCTAGAATTCAGAAGAGAAAGGTGAGATGTTATAAAAAATATTAAAGCTTTTGAAATAAAAACTGAAGAAAATTAAAACCAAAATTTTGTAATGAAAGCAAATCTCAATAAATTGTATACAGACAAGAATTTTAAACACATCTGGCCAATACAGTGCCAAGGAGAAGAATGAAGTTTCACAAAAGCAATCACATAGGAGGATTTAGTGTGCATGGAAATGTGTCGCCCTCCTATTAGTGGAGAGCTTTTGTCAGAAGAAGCATTATCATGCAGTAGCACAATTCATATAAATTCATATGAAATTAGATGGGAGTTGCCTCAAGGATAGTGGCATGCAATTAATTTTGGTAGATGTGCTGAAGGGTTGAGGAAGATAGCTAAACTGTGCACAAAGGTGAGTTATCATCTAAGAACACGGAGATGTTGTAGATGTAACTAAGGTGTCATATGAAACTCAGGTAATATTGTTGATGTAACTAAGATGTTATATCAAATTCAAGTAATGCATGTTGATGTACTTGATGACTAAGAATACTGGTTCAATTCCAAATACAATTGATAAATTTTGTTTTTCTAAGGTATTTGTTTAGCAAAACATAACATATACCAACACAATCTACTCTGCTACACAGTACTATAAAAAAAGCCAAATACTAATCACTAAAACCAATTCTTAAAACTAAATATTCAGAATAAGGTTACTGAAAGAATTTCATACTAATGAACTGGAAATATATGAATGAATAATATAAAAATTAATAAATAAAGTATCAGTTAGAAGAAATATATAAATGAGAACACACACACATAAACATCTTACCATTAATTCCTCTTCAGATGGTTGTTTTTCTTCTAAAAACATTTCACCAAGAATATCATCTGCATTGGAAACATGCTCTAAAAATATGAAAATGTTTCTTCCTTAACCTTCAAATTACCAACATATTTTTATACTATTTACTACTGCAGAGGTCCACAAATGGTATCATATTTAGAATTTTTTTGTATTTACCTGTCACCAATGATGAAAGAAACTTTACTTTCTTACTGGCATGATAGTAATGTTTACCCTTTCCACCACCCACCCACCCACCTATAGACATTTTATATAAATCAACACTGCTATTTTATGCAGAACAAAGCTACAGAATTTGAATATACATGTCTTAATAATGACAAATACTACAGTTAATAGGGAAAAAAGTTTGACTTGAAAACACTTTCTTTGGGTTAAAATGATATCAAAAATAGTACCTAAATCACATCTACACATCACACCTGACTGGGAGTGAAGCCTGAAAAGCAATATCTTTTACAACAATGTAACATAACATCCAACAATATCAGTAAAAACCATTATCAGTCAAAACATAAAATGATCTTCATGATTTGCCGGTACATTATACCATCTTACTTTCACTGCTACTGTCACAACACTCATTTTATAGAACTGAACAAAAGAACTCAGTGAAGTCTTACATATCATGTTTAAAATTCAAAGCATACCAAAAGTATTTTGATTAACAATCTCACCCGGAAATAACATCAGAAGTGAATAGTGTTATTAGAAGCCACAGCTGAAAAGTCAATTCTAATACTTAAAGACTGTATTTAGCTTTATCCATATTTGTGTCCAAGTTGAAGCTAGTGGGAGGAGTGAGACTGGAAGTTAATAATCCATTTGAGGGCTGGATTGCTAATTGTATTTGAATGCCAGCAATGCTTAGGGGCTGGATGCAGCCTGCAGGCCACCAACTGAATAGTCATAATTGAAGGATATAAACTTAAAACTTATTTTAAACAACTTACATGTTAATGAAAAAGCACCTACTCTGGACTAATTAGCTTACAGAAAAAACATCTAATTGTTGCTGAGCACAAATAAGAAAATGGTGTAAAATACACAACAAACACAGAAAAAGTGAAAAAACAACAGGTGTAATCAAACTGAATAATGTTAAAAGGCCTAATACTTGAAAAATGTTTGACAAGAAATAACACTGAAAACACTTACAATGAAAAAATATATCCTCAAAGATTGAATGAGAAAGCTCATCAAGAGTAAGAAATATTGTACACAAATCAATGATAAAGTCAGACAGAAGTAAAAAATACTGCAAAAGAATAAATGATAGAGTTGTTCAAGAGTAAAAAAATTTAATTTTGACATACCTATTAATTCCTGACGTTTTTCTTCCATCTCCATTATCATTTCTTTAGGAGGTTCATCTTCTCGAATAATTTCACTGGAAATAAGGAAATAACTTTCACTGAAATTGATCTCAAATACCATTTCTCTTTTAAATGGAAATTTTTATGGATGACAACATACATGAACATTCACAACACTATTATTATTATTTAATCTTACTTTCTTACAAAAATATTGTGCAAGTACTTTTTATATAATCAGGAAAAACTGCTAAGTTAGTAAGAATACTGCACCTATTTTTATATAAAATGAATTTAATAGTCCTTATATTACATGAACTAATATCAACTGACTGTCACTAATACTGATTTCTACGTGACTTAGGGTTCTCTTAACCCTTTAAACATGGGCGGATGAGATTACCATCTGCTCAACTAGGGAAGGATATTTATGCAACAAAAACTCTGTTCATTCCTCACAAAACCTCGTAAGATTTTGTTAAAGTTTATATGTATTTTGTACATTTATTACATCTTTATAATAAAAATGTTATTTATCTATAGTAGTTATTTGCACTCAAACTGTTAAAATAGTTCAAGTGCAAGGTGATTTTTAAGTATAAAAATACTTTTCTTTATCTTATACTTTCATATTTCATTAGCATAACCTCTAGAGCTTCCTAAATGAATATCAAAAGTATTTTTAGGTAAATGTTAATTTTGTTTTCATTTTCTCTACCATATCACTAACTGTAGATAATATTATCGACATACAATGTAATTAAATAATTAAAATTAGGAAATTGAAAAAAAAAAAGTACATACCTTTTAATTTTTTGTAAAATATCTTTTAAGATGTTGTTTCGGTTATATTAGTAATTTCAGGTCTCTTTCTTTTTTCATATAGTTAATTCTTAATGTTTTATTTTCCTTTATCATTTATTATTCATCTCAACATAAATCAACAGTGCCCTTGAGGCATATTACAGTGTCTCTGGCACATATGCACAGCCATTGAGCAAAGTTTTCGTTCCCCATGTAATATCCTAAGTCTTGAGAACTGACACAAAGGATGATGTATATTTAACAAATGTTTAAATCTTTGAATTATGCATTTTAAAACATAATTAATACACAATTAACTGAAATATAAAAGTAAGACCTAAATACAATTTAACTGTACCTCTAGCTACAACATATATAGGTAAGAAACAACTGTAAGTGCTATAGTCGATCAAGCAGCCAACAATACTACAGTCAGTTACATGTACCCCGTGATGACAACTGTATGCCAATTTCAAAAACATCATTGTTAGTTTATAGTTTAAAACGGGCTCTTTCTAATGACTATACACATGTGTATGTAAAAACTATGTGTAGACTATAAAGCTCAAACAAATCTGTTGAAGGTGAGCATTGCACATGTCAGGAATTGAAAAACTTACTACATATTTCAACTGCATTCATTCATATAACTTTGAAATGTATGAATCAAAACTTTATGTAAGCATCTTATAGTCTAGATGTACATCTACTCAACTGCCATTATATAATTGAAGATACAGAGTGCCAAAGTAGAGATTTTTTATAGCTCGTTGGTCACGTGACAATACGTCTGAACATTTAAGTAGCTTTTCTAAAGGCTTCTTTTGAAATAAAGGACTTAAACTTAGATAACATAAAACTTTGAATTATAACATACATTACAATGTTAATTTCATTCACATACATTGATAGTAAAGATGTTTAATTAAATTTTGAATGTAGCACAGTGATTTGTGCAAAAAAAGAGTTTAAAGGGGTACCCATTATGAAAGTGTTAGAAAGAGAATAGATATTGTTATAGTCTTACATGACTTGGCATAAGTCAGTATAGGAATATGCTTATTTATGCAAATGCATTAATGATATACCCTCATATAAGATCTTCTACGATAATGGAGGGTGATATGGTTACTAATAACAAAATTATTACATCTGTATCCTGTAATATATGTAATTATATTTATCTGTGAAATCATCAATGTACAATTATTTATTATACACGAAAAATTGTGTTCTATGAATCTCTTATGTTGACTTAAGAATGTAATGCTTTTTTATAAACAATTAGTATGTAAATAAAACTTTAGTACGAAAATTAAATTATTTTAAAATAGTTACAGTCTTCCAATATTAACAGAACTATTTATCTTTGTTAAGCAAGCTTTTGTTTTTTCCTTATCGTCTGCTTCCTCTCACCTATCGTGACTTATATGCCAGTTGTATTATTTTATTATCATACAAGTCTGTCATCACCTGGATACTTCTACTTGCAACATTTGTAGTCCAACAGTGGGGAGTTCAGATAGCAATGCAATGTAGTATCATTAGTACACTACTTTACTCTCACAAAAAAATATGAGGGTTGAGAAGTCTTATGTAGAAAAGTTAAAGGCTAAACTGATTTTAACATGTTCTAAATTCATCAATATTAGCTATAGAATTCATAAAAAAATTAAATACAGAAATCTAGGTATTGTAAAATTAGTAAAATACGATTATGATAGAAGTACAATACAAGAAAACATACTAATACAAATTTAAAATACAGGAGCAAGAACTTGGCTGCAAGAACTTTGCACAAACTAGTACCATAACAAAAATGTGACCACATAAAGTGGAACATTTGTGAATCAAATATGGGTATAGCTATGAGTAAGAGAGGATGAAAAGACAAATATCACTTCTTAGACTTCTTATAAGAATACAAATGGTGCATCAGGCTTGAAAGGGGTGGAAGAGCAAAAATGTCTCAAACTTAGTATAACTACGGAAAAGAGCTAAAATAATAGTAAAGAGAATTTGATAATAATGGAGCTCTTAACTGTGGTGATTAACTAACAGAATATTTGATTTTTTAATAGATATAAACCAAAGTTTTATTTGGTGGTAAAAATGTCAGACGTATATAAATACTAGTATATAGCACACCAAAAATGAATGGGCAAGTACTACCACCCCCACCCCATAGTAAACCCTAACCTCACATTTCATAGTTAACTGAAATAAATAAATTTTGCAAAAATCAAGCTTGACCAACAAAAAGACAGAAAAGTGCAGTCGAGGCAGTCAAACGTCCGTAACTTCCTTTGTGAGCCAATCAAGATTAAGTTCATCATGAAATGAATTTGTGGCATATTCATAGAACAATTATTGGTAAATCTCAGTTAATTTAACAACTTCTAATATACAGAAAAGCCAGTTCGTTTTGGTAACACTACATTCCAACAATGGATTTTATGTCATGTTGTTTAGCAACAAAAGTATAACCTAATATTGTTGTTAGTTTATGTACTGAAAGTATAAAATGAAATGTATAGACAACAAAACTGAAAAAATATTTGTTGATTTCTTAATTTAGAGTCTCCATTGATTACTGTGGTTTGTTTTTTATTAAAGATGTTGGTGATATAACAGAAAATAGCTTAATTCAGAAACGATTTAAGTTTAAAATTGAATAGAAATTTTTACTTTCATGATAAATTTTATGCACTTTG